TTTACCTTCCAAACAAGATAATTTTCAGGAATATTACCCTGCCCCGAAGCACACACACAGCTGGCAAGGGCCTTTTGTGTATATGTATGAATAGTAATTCCACTAGAGTGACAAACAGCACTTACCACAAAATAGAGCGATGCTTTATACAAGCTACGGAACTCATTTGTGGAAGGAAATAATCAACAGACCGTATTACTCACACACAGACACATGTATATTATATTTTCTACAATATTCTTCTATTAATAAGCATTTACTTCAAGAATATTTTTCTTTTAAGCCACTACTCTTGGTCAGTAAATATTCTAACGTACTTTACCAATATAATTGCAACTTGAATATATAAAAACATTCGTACAAAAAATTCACAACTAATGTGTGTTCACGAACCACAGTACTATACCTTCTTTAACCGTACAACCCTGCATCAGAAAATGATTAATGACATATAAATGCATGTTCTGAAAAATATGATGGATGCAGCCAAGAAATCGTTTCAAAAAACTGCTGAAAATAATTCCATACCTCCACTGCGACAGCAGGTAGTAAAACTGCTACTATTAAATAGATAAACACTTTCTGCCTCATTTCAATGAGAGCCTTTACGCAATGTAATGTACATACACTTTCATTAAATAATAACTTTTTTATGCTAATTCAACACAACACGAGAATTATAAGCACAGCTCATTCTCACATAATCCTCTTTATACTGAACATATGACAATGATACGAACTGACACAATTATCATTTCCATTTCACTACAATATTTCCGGTTAGCAACGTGTACTGACATCTCTCTTTCTATGATCAATAACATAACGGTACCAAAGTGCCGGTAGCTACTTTCTGTCGGCAAAAGAGTTACCTGCTGTTCTACTTCGATGACTAAATTTGAAAATCTGGTGCTGTAGAAGTACTCAGTATTCTGGACAAATGTGAGTGCATGTGAACTAGTTCAACCACTCATCTTTCTTGATGGATAACCGTCCATACTCCACTATAGTAAAGTTATCAACATATGGAAGTCAAAAACATTATGCAAGAGTTGATGAATAAATCTTATGTTAAACACACACATTTAGGGCAGGAGTACTCAGACTTTTCCAGATCTAGGGCCAAATTTGCCCTTGCTAATCAACTCATGGGCAGCAAGGTTATAAAATACATTTACAATATCAATTTATTAACAATGCTACAGATTTACTCTTACAAAGAGGTTTGTATTACTCAGTAATTTTTATTAATAAAATCAATCACTAGTGAGATACTTGACTAATCTTTCAATATCAGGTTTAACTTCTGCTACATCCCTCCATGTGTTCAGCAGTATGACACGCTAATTCTATATCTGATGTTCTTCATTAAGATAAACAGCTGCCCACAGTGGCAGTTACTGTAAAATACTGATGCGAAGAGAAGTCGAATGTTCTGATTGGCTTGCAGAACAGACAAGCGCCTACAAGTAATTATCTTATATAAGAATTATTAAGAAATCTGTGATAGTGACCTCCACTCTCTCCATTTTAGTTTTGATTAAATTGATCATTGCCTGAAGACATCGTGGTCTCCAACTATAGAACAAAGTTTGAGGTTAGAGATTCCTATTTATTATTTGCAATTGTATTTGTAATTGTCTGTGGTATCGTGAGGGTTGGTTTGTAATCGTTAAACATTCACATGCCAGCAACGCCATATGGAAGATCTCGTTTACTTCCGTAATGTTGGCTACCGGAGGAATTCTGCACATACCTTCGTCCTTAAGAGAGGATAGCAGCTGGTTGTATTTATGTCATGTTATTGGCAACGCCCGGTTGTCTGATTTTATTTGTGCTGTCACGAATACTAAACAATTTTAGGTAGAATTGAGGTTGAAACGTTTTCTACAGCACGAGGTTTTTGTACTTCAAATACCTTCTGCATCTATGGTAAATATTTCAACTTCAACAGCAATACGAAGGAATCTCGTGAATTAATTTCGTAACTCTTTTAATCCGAAGATGGTCTAAAACAATTTAAGAACTCCTAATAATCACTGCTTACAGTGCAACTCATAAACACAGAATGTAGCGTTAAAAGTTGCTAAAGCTGATGGTTCATGCACGGACTACCACTCTGTTCGAAGTGTCGTGAAAACTAAGAAGCTTTCCTTGAGTTCAGTGCGTAACTGTAGCCATAGTCGCTTGTTGCTTTTGAATTTTAAACGATGATGAACCAACTGGCAAGTATTAAATCTTCACATTACTGCTGGCATTGGAGTAAAGGAACGTAAATTCTTTTTCTGGGAATTAAAATCGTAGAAGGTGATCCTACTTTGATAAAAATCGCCGGAAAAACTTTTTGATAGATCCGAGACATGAGATATTTAGACTAGAGACATTTGAAAATTAATTTGGTTACGACTATTTTGATAAAGAAGAACACAGACTTTTACTTGACGCTAGTAGAAAGTTGGTGACGAGTGATGTTTTCCGAGCTTTTCCTCAGTTGTAAGGCAAATACAAGGGTATAATTCAAAAAGGAGGATGGCTCTCCAACCTCAAATCATTGAGGCCTTCAGCTGACGTGACAAAAATTCGCAGAGTGACCTCTGGTTTCAAATTCCAGACAACTCTCCAACGAAAATCCTTTTCATGAAGGACAAGTTGTCTCACGCGATAACCTGTCATCAGCAGCAACAGAACCTAGTTTGATTAATCAACGCTTTCCGCCTCGACAAAACCCTCGTTTTAGTTATGAGGCTCTGTTTCCCATTTCCAGAAATGCGTTCCTTACGCAGGAATGGTGTTTTCTAGCAAGGGACGATGTCTTACGCTTCCGGAGGACTCTGCCCTTAGTTAGCTTTTTGGTTCTGCTAGGTCCAGAGACAGGGACTAGCTCTATGAATTGGGCCCAACAGAGTCGGATTTTTACCTGGAGACGGAAAAATACTCCAGTCTCCAAAACGCCATTTTTATTGTTTTTGGGTCTTCAAATATGCATTAGGTTCAAAAAATAGTTTGATTCAACATCTTAAGAGATACTCGAGTCTGTGACCTTAGATCCTGTAATTTCCTCTCCGAAACGAAAGAATTTTTCCTTGACGTCGCTCGCTTATCGCGGCTGCGTTCCTGTCAACAGAAACCATTCTTCTAGTCAGGAGTCGAACCCAGTGTTGAGGCCTTCGTTTCCGTAATCTCCCCTTCGAGGAAAAAAACTCTGATCCTTGCGCCATTGTTCTGTCTCGCTTAGTTTCGGATTTAAAGGAACCGCCCTTGAAGGAAATCGAACCCAGGACACTTTTACCGGGTTTCTGACCTTCCAGTGTTCTCTCATTTTTCTTAAGGAATAATTACGCCATGTTTCTTCTTCACGAGCCGCAAGCGAACGAGTAAAGAAATGTCAACCCTCAATTTCGAGTCTCTGCGTTATTTACTAAGGGGAAATAAGACAGTTTCTTACAAATTCATCTCCTGGGACTCAGACAGTTTTCGGGCTTGTGACCTTAGTCAGTCAAATCATTTCCCAGGAACGAAAATAGAATTTGCCTTAACGCCATTCTTCCCTAGTCCTTGCTGTCCGAACAACATAAAATATCTTTCCCGGGATTCGAAGAAAGGAAACATTTTCTATGGCCCATCGCCCGGGCCCCTCAAAAATCATCTTTAAAATTAATCAAGTATACTGAAACCGGCGTTATTTTTAAATAAGGGCAATTGGAATTGTAGTTTTCCTCACGTCTC